TATCCCTATACTTCTTTATTCCGGCCAATAAAACGCCTTGTCTCATCAGTGCTGTTTTTAAAACTGACTAGATGAGGTGACTTGGTTATTAATGAAGAGAAAAAGGTTGAGCGATGAGACATTATCTACTGAAGTGTAATTTCGTTAAATGTAGACGAGACAGTCAATTCTACAAATTGCATTATTGGGATTTGCATTCTGACAGTAGGGTTGTGTGCTTGATTTGAGTGTTCTGCTTAAAAATAGAGAAATTAGCGTTTGTACCCGAAAGGGCAAACCAACAAGTAGATGAACTTGTTGAATATATAATAAGAGCAATGCTATGGCGGGTTTGTGCTTGCCGTTTACTGCAATCAGTTTTCAAGACAAAAAAGAGTCAATTTCTGTCCTCTAATAAAATCAAATCAGCTTCTCTAAAATAACATTACCAGTCACGCATTAAGCCTCCCACTCAACTGTTTAACCTTTTAATGCAGGAAATTAAATTACTAACCTTGCCTGTTGGGCAATGGCCCTGCCTAAAACATTTACGGAGCTGACCTTTTTAAGTGTTCTTCAGTCATTTCAGCTCGGATGTCAAACTTCTGGATTTATTTCAGTTTGTGTTTGGGATAAAGAATCGAAATCGTATTCATCTCTGTTCGTTAATCAAAGAATAAGGCGTTCGTTTTTAGATTAAGCTTGTTACAAACTTAGAACTAGATCATTTGTGTTTCTGTAAAAAGACACGTTCGCGCATAGGTAAAGCCGCATTACCACATCAGAAACTAGAAATCACATCAATTATAACGGAATGTAAATTTACTAAATCTATTTTATTAGCGAGCTAAATAGTGGACATAATGAAGCTAAAATAGGCCTATGAGTTCGTAAAAAAAGACATCTCAAAAAGGGCATATTACAGATAAACAACTTTCGGAGAAAATAAGTTATTACATTAAGACGAATGTCCTGCTATCGGTAAAGTCTAGTTCACAACCCGCCGTACAGGCTACTACGGGAAGTCTACGGGGGAATTTTTTTACTACACCCGTGCGTGAGATGGGAGTAAATAGAAACTTTTGGCAAGCGTAAATTCCTGGTCCGTATCGCGTATCCGTATCGATTTTGCGTGTGACGTCAGCAGTGTGTGGGTATTTCCCATATGTGATACGGCACACGGATACGGTAACACGTATCGAACAGTTTTCATACGGAAAAGGTCCGTATAACATCGTTGTCTTTTTACAGTCTTTTTTACTACTTTTAGACGCTGAAATTTTGTACCACAGAGTTTTTATGAATCTATGTATAACATAGAACACGAAGGTGTATATTTGATGTGATTTTTAACCATGATCATTAGCTGAAGTTTATGAATTATTTTTGATGAGTTTTTCTCGGAATTTTCATATTTTTCATGTCTGTCTGTCTGCATGCTCGTTGATCACGTACTAAATTTAGCGAGGTAAAGGGTATAAACTTTCTAAAATGATAATAAATGAAACCAAAAAATGCTGTCGAGGTCGAAGATTCTTAATAAGATTCGACATTATTTTTTTTAATAGCTCAGCGACTGTCGAGCTAATTTGTAGCCTAGGCACTTGACTAGTACTGATGGTGATCTTGGTAGATAACTGCCATCACGCTGTAATAGAACAAAGCACAGCTCAGCTACTCATGCGTACGCGGCGCGAAAATCTGCATTAAGATTTTGAATAACCCATTTCTCTAAAACTGTCTAAGCTGACGGACATAACAGTAAATATTTCGGACAAAATTGAGGGGGAATAACCGATTTGAACACTATTTGACAGCAAGTTTACAATTTGTTGTAAAAATACTATTTCAAATGGCATTTCTGTTAATATACAACTCACATAATGTAAACTGACAAATGGTTGTATTTCTACATTACGTTTAATGTAATCTTACATGTGGCAAAACAGGGAATAACCGATGTGGCCAATATTTGACAGTTAATTTACAATTTGCTGTAAAAATAATAATTCAAATGGCATTTCTGTTAATATACAGTAGCCCACATAATGTAAACTGACATATAGTTGTATTTCTACATTAAGTTTGATGTAATCGTACATAAGCTTTGTAAACATATGCATTTACATCGTTTTAAATGTAAGTTAACAAATGATGTGATATTTTAAGTATACGTATAACTGTGAATATACTGAATATACATATAATTTTAACAGTTTAATAGGGATCTTTTACGTGCAAACCAACATATACACGAGACCTCCGAACGACTAGACAGCTATCCTTGTCAGGCCCTCTTACCCACTAAAACACCGTGACCCCCTCAAAAGTGGACTATAGTATAGATGAAAAGTAATGAAGCCTTAAAAGGTCTATTAATGTTAAAATTCTAAATAGATGTACAATGTACAATTAATTATACGTGTCCTGTAAATTGTACAGAAATCCCGTATTTAAACATGTTTGAATAGTAGAATTACCTATAAAAACAGTTAAAGATTGGTTGCCAGGCAACGAAACATACGCCCACAGCAGCTATATCGTCCGGGCAGTCAACAAGAGTTGTCGCATATTTTTACTTTTTTCGGTAATGAAACATTTATAATACATTAAAATCTGATTAAGAGTAACAGCTCATTAAGTAATTATCAGAGAACCATTTAAATTTGTTTGGTTTTTATAAAGTTCTGCCCCATGCTAACGTTTAGTATACGAAACTTTTAACATCATGGATTTAGCTGTTCAAGTCATAATGATTCATTGAAAATCAATATACTTGTTCGTCTCAAGACCTTAAACTCTGTGTATATATCTGAAGTCAATCGGATATTAACTTTAGCCTCTAGAGCGTCACAAGATTTTTTTTAAGTGATCAAGGGCCATAACTCTGGTAGTAATTATCGGAAATCGCTGAAAATCAATAGGATTCTTCGTCTCATGACCTTAAACACTGTGTATTAACTCTGGCAGTAATTATCGGAAATCGCTGAAAATCAATAGACTTCTTCGTCTCATGACCTGAACACTGTGTATAAATTTAAAGTCAATTGGATATTAACTTTAGCCTCTAGAGCGTCCACAAGATTTTTCAAAGTGATCAAGGGTCATAACTCTGGCAAAATTTTTCGGAAATCGCTGAAAATCAATAGGATTCTTCGTCTTATGAACTTAAACACTGTGTATAAATTTAAGGTCAATCGAATATTAACTTTGACTTGTAGAGCGTCCACAAGATTTTTTGAAGTTATCAAGGACCATAACTCTGGCAGTAATTATCGAAAATCGCTGAAAATCAATAGGATTCTTCGTCTCATGATCTTAAACACTGTGTATAAATTTAAAGTCAATCGGATATTAACTTTAGCCTATAAAGCGTCCACAAGCAATTGTAAACGCCGGACGGACGGACGGACGGGGGAGACAACAATATACGACCACATTTCAATGTGGGCGTATAAAAATAGAACATACATGTACTTTTAACCAACATAGTTGTATCAATATAGATTACATGTAATAACCAGCGGCTGCCAGGCAGGATACGCCACATTTTCGAGAGATGGATAGAGAACAAGCTAAAAAGAAAGTGACTTTTACTACAATCAAGGGTCATAATTCAGGAAATTACAATTCGATATGCGCAAATATCGAAAGGAACTGAGATCTTTGTGTTATAAACTTCAATTCAAGTTTCAACAAAATTGGATAAAAATTGTGACCTCTATAGGGTCCACAACCTTTGATATATCATATTTTTAGGCTATTTGAGAACGAAGGGTGGCCATTTTGTCTGTCAGTTTTGGGCCGATTTTCACGAACTTCGAACTCAGCCGTCCTTAGGGTGTAACGGTGATATAATAATACGTTTTTTTTTTAAATCGGATAAAAATCATGACCTCTATAAAGTCAACAAGCTAAAAACGCGATTTTTCATAAAATCAGGGGCCATAATTCAGGAAGTTACGGTACCGAGATCTTTGGGTTATAAACTTACATTTTAAGTTTCAACAAAATCGGATAAAAATTGTGACCTCTATTGGGTCCACAACCTTGATATACCATATTTGTTACGCCATTTGAGAACGAACGGCGGAAATATTGTCTGTCAATTTTGGGCCGATTTTCACGAAATTCTAACTCAGTCGTCCTTAGGGTGTAACGGTGATATAATTATACGTTTTTTTTTAAATCGGATAAAAATTATGACCTCTATAGGGTCGACAAGCTAAAAACGCCATAATTCAGGATGTTACGCGAATATCGAAAGGAACCGAGATCTTTGGGTTATAAACTTCCATTTCAAGTTTCAACAAAATCGGATAAAAATTGTGACCTCTATAGGGTCCACAAGCTAAAACGTGATTTTTCGTACAAACAGGGGCAATAATCCATGAAGTTTCGATCCGATACATGCCAATATCGAAAGCAGCCGAGATCTTTTGGAGATAAACCTATATTTCAAGTTTCGTCAAAATCGGGTAAGAATTGTGACCTGTAGAGTGTCCACAAACAAATTGTGGACGGACGGACGGACGGGGGCGACAACAATATACGACCACATTTCAATGTGGGCGTATATTAATAGAACATACATGTACTTTTAACCAACATAGTTGTATCAATATAGATTACATGTAATAAAAATACAGTTCTAACTTGTAAAACTTCACTTTTATTGTTAGTTTACCAACTTTTTACCATGTTACCTCACTAATGCAGTAAATTTATAGTATAAAAACATACAGTGGTAATTTTACAGCGTTATGTTAAAGAAATTACATATTTTTCACTGTAATTTTACATTTACTTTTAACATTGTATTGTTTTTATAGCTAGCACGAACTGCTGCTGCTGTTGTGCAAATAAGACGGCCTAAAATGTATTTAATATAACGTAATTGGTCTTTGGCAATTCAATTGTTTCAGCACAGCTCTAAATGAAAAACGAAAGGCGGTACTACTGGGATAATTCCCATACGTCATGTTATAAAGAGTAAAATATGTCATTTTCTCTCACAACTGCTAGGGTGCTAATCATATAAATAAAATGTATAGTTTAATGTTTATTTCTTTTCTACGGGACCAACAGAAATATTGTCTGGGTTAGGTGTCATGCGATATAGGCATGGTGGAAGCGGACGTTAAATAAAATTATATCCAAACCGGACGTGCCAGTATCTTGTTGTCAAATCCATGATATGGGATTGGGTGATAAATAAAATCTTCTACTCGTCTTTTTTGATATAAAAAAATATCAACTTGTGTTTTGTGTTGATACTTACAATTGCTTAATACTAATTTAATTTAATTCTCGTTTATTTCTCGTACATCCTCACGTTTATTACAAAAAAGTAAAATCTATAGTTTACCAAGACTTCCTGTGTTTTTATATCGCCATATAAGCTGTATTATCACCCAATAATACATTCTACAGTAGATATCGCTTGTGTGATATATTTCATAATCTACTGCGATATCTCCTTAGGACTGGTCAGTTGAAAAGGAACTAACTTTTTTTTAATTAAAAATGAACTATTGTTATTCAATTGACCTTGATGGAAACACTGGGTCAATATAAAGGACTTTGCAATGGTTAAATTGCTGTCAAAAAATGATGTATCACTACGCCGTAATGTTCAGTAAAAGTGAAATCTACAGCAAAGAATTATATTTATCTATTTGTGCATGTAAGAAGGGATTGGGTGATAAATAAAATCTCCTACTCGTCTTTTTTGATATAAAAAAATATCAACTTGTGTTGCTATTTTTTGATATCAAAAAAGACTGGTAGGAGATTCTCTATTTCTCGCTATTCGTGTGTGAGTACTTCACACTATAGCTCAATATTTTCTAGGAGTTCAGTTCAAATATCTCATAGGTGTATAGACTACTTTTCATCCAAAGTAACAATAGAAATATATTCTTGGTTTTAAGCGACCAAGTGGATATAAGCTAAAAAGAATATTTAAAGAAGCAAGTGTATTGATTTCTTCAGGCTCAAGTATATCGGCACTGTCTCTAACGTAAATGACTTTATAGTTGTCAAATGCTTATCATTAGTACTTAAAGAGGTATTGTCCGATTTGAATATCTGCACATATTACACTTTTAATTTCAGGATGTATTGTACAATGAAAATAACAATACCTCTTTTCATTGTTAATACTATAATTCAAAAGAAATATGTATTGCCATAACAAATGCCTGTATCTTAAACATGCATTATGCAAGAGCTAAATCTGATTATTGCAAGTCTTAATTTAGGCTTCAGGTGTTATAGAAATTATAAATTAGATCTTTATTTAAACAACAAGCCCAAAATCAACTCTGTAGACCCACGGATGGCTCGACTACAGCTCGGATTTAAATAGGATTTCACTAATTGATTAAATCAAGTATGGGGCAACCTGATGAAAATATGTCAGTTAGATGGAGGCTAAATGATAGAGTGTACTTAGCGAGGCCGCTGTAAAGCGTTTCCGTATGCCATTGAAAACTTTACTTGGTAATCGAGATATGTAGGTGGAGTTAACGCCTGTCAATCAAACGGTCGGCCAAGGTGAAGACGCATTTCGCTACCATTTCTAGGCAAATATTACAACGATGATAACTATGTTCAGAATAAAGTAATTTGACTGAAATTTTCAATATATTCTTCTTTCATCATATACTTTTGAACTGTTATAGCAAGAATGGCCAACTCTCTATAAAAATCTCCCATAATGTATCTTTAAGCCTGCCATGATTTCCTGCATGCCACGAATAGTATGTAAGTTACCTCGATTATCTAGACAACTGGGTCCGTATTCAAAGTTAAGTAAAAATACTTAATTTTTCCACTTAACTGAGTGTGTTACCCTAAAACGGTATTTAAGGGCTGTATTTAACATATCCTTGCTATGTCAAAAACTTAACTGCACTCTTAAATTATGGAATACCCACATTCGCCATAAAGCATGAATTTTAATTTATGGATTAACCTCCACTGCCAAAAATCACGAATGTCTAACATCGCATGTAAGTTATGTCCCCTTAAGAGCACCACGATACATTAAAATCTTAGATGTCATTACTCGGAAAATGTTTGTTGAAATATTGTAACGCATGAAAACAAAATGACTATAATTCATGACAAATCCTTTGCGGAACAGCTGTTTTCGTAGATTGTTTTAAAAAATTCAATTTCAATAGATTTCAATTGCAGTTATGGTAGTATAATGATGGATATTATAGACTTTATTATTTTACCAATGTATAACGAATAGAAAACAACATATTAGCAATACGCAAGGCCCTTTGGCTTTTAAGTTAGACTGAACAAATCGTTCAGTGTTGTTTCTCAATCTGTCAGTTGAGAAATTCACAGAAATTGTGTCAGTGCCTACACTGTAGAAGCCTAAAGGCCTGGCGTTGAAGGTACGTGACGCCATTTTCTACCTGAAATAATACTATCGATTCCCACGATGGTATTTATTAGGTGGATATTTCGAATAAAAGTATGGCAAATTTGCTATATATGGAAAGCATAGACCCCCAATTGTCTGCCAGTTTGACTTAGGGGGCGGTGGTTATTTCTTGGGATCATTGAGGGGTGTAAATGTATAACAGACTCTGCAATTAAAGGCGGAAAAAAAAAGTGGCAGCAAATAATTCAAGAATTTACTTAGGCCTCAATATGTATGGTAAATGGACAATAAGTAATGACAAATACATTGTGAAAAATGGGCCCTCCCTCAGCCAAGTTAGATGACAAACATGGCTTCTAAAAATAGATTTTTATAGCTTGATTTATCTCTTTGCGAAGACAAAGTTTTGAGAGGGATTTGAAACAAATTGTTGATACATTAATTAATTAGTTTGAATATGTGTTTAGTCCAGATATATCATCACATCTCACAGTTTGTAACACAAGAAATTAATTGAAAATCATTTTTTAGAAGCCATGTTTGTCACCTAACTTGGTTGTGGGAGGGCCCATTTTTCACAATGTATTTGTCATTACTTACTGTCCATTTACCATACATATTGAGGCCTAAGTCATTTCGGGACTAACATATGGTTCCCTTTTATTTCAATAATTCGTTGCGCGTAGGGGTCTTTAGCAGTGGGAGGAAACCGGAGGACCAGGAGAAAAACCCACCTGGTTGGACAGGCGTCCCTACTCCTTGTCACGTACAACCGGAGAGTCGAAACCACGCCAGTTGACTCAATGACAGGCCTTATATGATACAGCGTGCACGTGCTAACCATTCGAACATCCCCCTCCCCCCGGCCCAAGCTACTCCGGTTAAAAGAAATTATAATGACTTCTTTTTTTACACTCTGGTTAAAAGAAGTCATTATAATCTCATTTAAACATATATCATGCAAGAGCTAAATATGTCTATTGCAGGTCTTTCTTTACGCCTAAAATGTTATCAAAATTATTAATTAGACATTAATTAACTTATCCAGACCATAATCAACTTTCGGTGCCATCGTTATCCTGTAATATATAGTGGATTTGAATACATTTTGTGATGTACAATTTAACGTAAAACTGGATAATCAAGACTTGCTTTATTATCGCACCAAAGTTAGTAATGACGTTCGGGGCTAAAATTGAATCAATTGAACAAATTTGACTAAAATTTTCAGCATATTCTGTTTTCATCATCCATTTTAACTATTATAGCGAGAACTGTCAGCTCTTTATCTAATCTTGTCTAATGCCCCTTTAACTCTACGGTACCTCCCATAGGTCACCTACAGTTAAGTGAATTTTTCTTACTTAAACTGGTATTTGAATACCTCTGAAAGACTAACACTTAAAACCGAAGTGAAGGCCGATTAACTTTAAGGGAAAATTTAATACTTAACATTGCCTTTGAATGCCACTTACCCATAACTTACAGGAAGTTACGTATATTTAAGTGAAATCTAGTAGTTAAGTGACTATCTTAGACTTAAGATGTCCTTTGAATACGGATCCTGGCCTATAATGACTGAGAAATCGTTCGCGAATAAATAGGCTGAGGACAAGGACATACAATTCTTACGTTTCGACGTGCTATTTTTTGTTACTGAAAATTCATAACGTGTTCTTATATCTCCAAATTAAATTACATGTATTAATTACGGCTGAATTATTTTAGGCTACTCCTTTAAAATATATAATTTCAAACTTAAGCATTTAATTACGTGTTCTTATATCTCCAAATTAAATTACATGTATTAATTACGGCTGAATTATTTTAGGCTACTCCTTTAAAATATATAATTTCAAACTTAAGCATTTAATTACGAGTCGATGAAAGTTCCCGAAGGGGTTCACGGCTAATGATTTACCGTCTGCCATCACCCTAACCTTAAAACATATTCAAAAGCATGTGTTTTGACAATGAAGAATCGGCTTTTGTTTTAAAAGATGGTATACATGTTTCGACATGTGGCTTATTGACGGCCCACAACGCCAATTCTTGTCTCCATCGCAAATTGATTGCATCGTTTAATACTGCTGTAATATTTGGCTATATGGCACCAATCTGTATTTTTATACTGTTAGTCGGTTTATATACAAAGACAAAAGTACTGAAAGTAGTTTGTCTCTCCGTGGAGATGGCAAGAAGTTATAATGCGCCTCCAGATACCGAAGTTTCGGTCTAGTAAGTTTGTTAGAAGGTTTTATCTCGACATAATGATGGCTATATTAGCTCATAGAAAGATGTTTAAATACTGCCATCTGTGTAAAGATATATTAAATGTTACCAAGTTCGCTGGGCGCACTTACATAACTGAAAGTTAATTCCTAATCAAAGTAGTAAAAAAGTTGCTTCTAAATCTATAGTTTCAAGCAGATTGTCTACGCTTCGACTACAACAAACATTAGTAAGGACAGAGTGGCATCCATTCTGTATTATGGTAACCTATTATGGTTATGGTTATGGAAATTGTGTCTTTTCACCAGTTAACAATGAATTCTATTTGTTTGAATATTTTTCCTCTCAACCTATTGTAAGACATGCGAGAACAACCAATATGACTTTTGACG